ACAATCACAGATACAACACTTCGGCACTCGAGGAATAAATCGAACGGATGGCAACACGGTGAGTAATTAGCACGTCAAACAAGGCACCTGTCTTATATCTAGCCACTTGTCACTCGCTGGAGGCGTGGTCAGCTGGAGGCGTGGTTTTGCTACGATTAATATCTAACTAGCGCAGTTGCTGGCACGCTAACGCTATGCAAAATATTGCACGTTGATGTCTTTATTGAAAACCTCACGTAGCGCAGTTGCTGGTATGCTAATGCAATGCTAGCGATAACTTTATCCCTATCTCTAATCATTTTTTATCCTTTGGCATCTTTGATCTGGTATCTGGTATCAGGTATCTGGTATCTGGTATTTGGTATCTGGTGTCTGGTGTCTGGTATCTGGTATCTGGTATCCGGTGTCTGGTATCTGATGTCTAGTATCTGGTATCTGGTGTCTGGTATCTGGTATCTGGTGTCTGGTATCTGTTATCTCTTTATCTCGTATCTGGTATCTGGTATCAGGTATCTGGTATCAGGTATCTGGTATCTGGTATCTGGTATTTGGTATCTGGTATCTGGTGTCTGGTATCTGGTATCTGGTATCCGGTGTCTGGTATCTGGTATCTGATGTCTGGTATCTGGTATCTGGTATCTGGTGTCTGGTATCTGGTGTCTGGTATCTGGTATCTGGTGTCTGGTGTCTGGTATCTGGAATCTGGTATTTGGTATCTGTTATCTTTTTATCTGGTGTCTGGTATCTGATATCTGGTGTCTGGTATCTGGTATCTGGTGTGTGGTATCTGGTATCTGGTGTCTGGGATCTGGTGTCTGGTGTCTGTTGTCTGGTGTCTGGTATCTGGTGTCTGGTGTCTGATGTCTGGTGTTTGGTATCTGGTATCTGGTGTCTGGTATCTGGTATCTGGTATCTGGTATCTGGTGTCTGGTATCTGGTATCTGGTGTCTGGTATCTGGTGTCTGGTATCTAGTGTCTGGTGTCTGGTATCTGGTGTCTGGTATCAGGTATCAGGTATCTGGTATCTGGTACTTGGTATTTGGTATCTGATATCTGGTGTCTGGTATCCGGTGTCTGGTTTCTGGTATCTGGTATCTGGTATCTGGTGTCTGGTATCTGGTGTCTGGTATCTGGTATCTGGTATCTGGTATCTGGTATCTGGTGTCTGGTATCTGGTATCTCGTATGTGGTGTCTGGTATCTGGTATTTGGTATTTGGTATCTATTATCTCTTTATCTGGTATCTGGTATCTCGTTTCTGGTATCTGCTATCTGGTGTCTGGTATCTGGTGTCTGGTATCTGGTGTCTGGTATCTGGTGTCTGGTGTCTGGTATCTGGTATCTGGTATCTGGTGCCTAGTGTCTGGTGTCTGGTATCTGGTGTCTGGTATCTAGTATCTGGTAGCTGGTGTCTGGTGTCTGGTATCTGGTATCTGGTATCTGGTATGTGGATCTGGTATCAGGTGTCTAGTATCTGGTATCTGATATCTGGTGTCTGGTATCTGGTGTCTGGTATCTGGTGTCTGGTATCTGGTATCTGGTATCTGGTATCTCGTATGTGGTGTCTGGTATCTGGTGTCTGGTGTGTGGTATCTGGTATCTAGTATTTGGTATTTGGTATCTGTTATCTTTTTATCTGGTATCTGGTATCTCGTTTCTGGTATCTGCTATCTGGTATCTGGTGTCTGGTATCTGGTACCTGGTATCTGGTGTCTGGTATCTGGTATGTGGATCTGGTATCTGGTTTCTGGTATCTGGTATCCGGTGTCTAGTATCTGGTATCTAGTATCTGGTATGTGGATCTGGTATCCGGTTTCTGGTATCTGGTATCTGGTGTCTGGTATCTGGTGTCTGGTATCTGGTATCCGGTGTCTGGTGTCTGGTATCTGGTATCTGGTTTCTGGTATCTGGTATCTGGTACCTGTCATCTTCTATAAGTTTTCATTTTTCGTTTTCCGTTTTCCGTTGTCCGTTTTCCGTTTTTCGTTTTTCGTTTTTGGTTTTTCGTTTTTCATTTTTCATTTTTCGTTTTTCATTTTTCATTCTTCATATTTCATTTTTCATATTTCATTTTTCATTTTTCATTTTGCATTTTTCATTATTCATTCATTTTTCATTTTTCAATGTCGCATGTGTCACCATTAATAGCACACAATGGCCTTATAAAATCTTCGATATAGCATTAATGCCCTCTATAAAATTGTATGACAAACTCAGATTTATGTGAGGAGCCGGCAACGTCGCATGTGTCACCATAAATAACACACAATGGCATTATAAAATCTTCGATATAGCATTAATGCCCTCTATAAAATTGTATGACAAACTCCGATTTATGTGAGGATCCGGCAACGTCGCATGTCTAGCTACCGCACTTACAAAAGATGGCGCTTGACACTTGACATATGTGAACCGTGTTCGCCTAAGGATAGCACGTTCTTTCTTCAGTGTAAATGTTTTATGATTTGACAGGAATTAAAATTATTAGATATTATGCTATAAGCACAAAGTCTTGCTATGTTGTGGATTTCTGGTCTCTTCAGGAATTGATCTTTGGCACTAATTAGGTCTTACAATCATATTTGTCGTATTTAAGCTGATGATGACTTCTACAAATGTACAAATTGCTAACCGTCACACCCGATTCCACTACATAGTTGGGGGTAAAAGACAGGAATGAAAATTGTTTACCTCATTTAAATTTGCTGACGATTAATAAGGCTACCTTTCAAACCGCTCTCAAACGTCTTGAAAGATGAACTAAATTATCTATAGATACACTGCGGTACGTCGTCTGAACCGAAAAACTAAACACTCGGCACCACTAGACACTTGCAAGACACACTGCTATAAGCACAAAGTTTTGCTATATTGTGGACTTGTTGCCTTTTTAGGATGGATCCATATAAACGTTCATCTAAAATTATGCCACTCATTAGGGTTTACAATCATATTTATCGTATTGAAAGTGATGATGACTTTTGTAAACAAATCGCTAAACGTCAAAGCCTAAATGCTTAGCTGCCGGTAAAATTACATCGTTGCCAAGGCATACTTGATTATCATTATAATAATGGCTATAGTCCGGTCCGTTTAGACTATGAAATATAGAAATTTTGAATCTTTTCGAAAATGTTGATTTTCACGCGTAAAAAAGGACAATTCTATTTGGCGTGATCCAATATTCGATAAAGCGACCAACATAAAGCCGAAAATGGCACGTTTCGGACGTTCTGCTCGCACTCGCTCGCTTTCGTAATACGATTATACCTACATTTCCCCGCCTAACAGGAATCTGGGGATCTGGAGGGGAAATTCAAAATTGAAACTTCAAACTAAAAATATCTGCATATCTTTGAATTTTCTAATCTGCCGAGTTTAAAAAATGCGATCGGGTAACGTGTCATATGTCGGTTTAATCAGGAGACTTTGGTCTTTCGTTTTGCGAAAAAAAATCGTAGCTACGTCGCTCCGTAACGCAGGTCCGTATCGACGAAGACAAAGTACGCCGAAAAACGGCTGTCATCGGTACTTTTGAGGCGCTCAAAGTTTATTTTTACGAAATTTGACGGTAATTCTAACGGTCAGAATCGTTTCCTCAGCTCATTATCGTTATATTTCGATAGCTGTATAATTTTTACTCGCCCACGTACGGTAGTAATAGGCGAGGACAGAGCCGGATGACAAAGTGACTTTTTCGCGCGTCGAAAAGTAGCGTGTTGTCGGGCAATTTTTAAAAAATCGAAACTTTCGACCGACAAGGGATAAAGGAAAAAAAAAGACGCTATCTTTGAGTCCGATGTCCGGGCTTTCTCACGCAAAAATCGTCAGGTTCGTAGCTCCTTTATCTTCGGAGGAGATAGAAAAAGCGCGTCGAACGGCACGAAAATCTACCGATTTTTCAACTTTACCGGCCATTTTCGATCGCGTTCGTTCCTCCTACCGCGACAACTCTCGCTCCACCGTAAAGCGCCGAGTTTCTAGTTTCCGAAACGGTATCGTTTTCCTTCCGAACGTTCCGCGAACCCGGAAAAAAACCGGAAAAATCGGAAAGTAGCGCGTAGTCGAGGAAATCAAAAAAATCGAAATTTTCGAACGAAACGGCATAAAGAAAAAAAAAGAAAGCCGCTATCTTTGAGCCCGAAGCCGGGGCTTTCTCGCGCAAAAATCGCCAGGTTCGCAGCTCCTTTATCTTCGGCGGAAACCTATGTTGAACGTCGGACAGAACGAAAATCTACCGGTTTTTTCGACTTTACCGGCCGTTTTCGATCCGATCCGTTCCTCTCACCGCGACGGCTCTCGCTTCCCGGTAAAGCGCCGAGTTTCTACTTTCCGAAACGGTACCTCTTTCCCTCCGAACGTTTCGCGAACCGGGAAAAAAAACGGAAAAACCGCGTCGACGTCATACGACAATTTCCGAACCACTACCAATTATACCAATTACTACCAAATCGAACAAAAGATCACCGCTTAATATTATCGACTAGCGCAGTTGCTGGCACGCTAACGCTATGCAAAATATTGCACGTTGATGTCTTTATTTAAAACCTCACGTAGCGCAGTTGCTGGTATGCTAATGCAATGCTAGCGATAACTTTATCCCTATCTCTAATCATTTTTTATCCTTTGGCATCTTTGATCTGGTATCTGGTATCAGGTATCTGGTATCTGGTATTTGGTATCTGGTGTCTGGTATCTGGTATCTGGTATCCGGTGTCTGGTATCTGATGTCTGGTATCTGGTATCTGGTGTCTGGTATCTGGTATTTGGTATCTGTTATCTCTTTATCTGGTATCTGGTATCAGGTATCTGGTATCAGGTATCTGGTATCTGGTATCTGGTATTTGGTATCTGGTGTCTGGTATCTGGTATCTGGTATCCGATGTCTGGTATCTGGTATCTGATGTCTGGTATCTGGTATCTGGTGTCTGGTGTCTGGTGTCTGGTATCTGGTATCTGGTGTCTGGTGTGTGGTATCTGGTATCTGGTATTTGGTATCTGTTATCTCTTTATCTGGTATCTGGTGTCTGGTATCTGATATCTGGTGTCTGGTATCTGGTATCTGGTATTTGGTATCTGGTGTCTGGTATCTGGTATCTGGTATCCGGTGTCTGGTATCTGATGTCTGGTATCTGGTATCTGGTGTCTGGTATCTGGTATCTGGTGTCTGGTATCTGGTATCTGGTATTTGGTATCTGTTATCTCTTTATCTGGTATCTGGTATCTGGTATCCGGTGTCTGGTATCTGGTATCTGATGTCTGGTATCTGGTGTCTGGTATCTGGTGTCTGGTATCTGGTGTCTGGTATCTGGTATCTGGAATCTGGTATTTGGTATCTGTTATCTCTTTATCTGGTATCTGGTGTCTGGTATCTGATATCTGGTGTCTAGTATCTGGTATCTGGTGTGTGGTATCTGGTATCTGGTGTCTGGGATCTGGTGTCTGGTGTCTGTTGTCTGGTGTCTGGTATCTGGTGTCTGGTGTCTGATGTCTGGTGTTTGGTATCTGGTATCTGGTGTCTGGTATCAGGTATCTGGTAACTGGTATCTGGTATCTGGTATCTGGTATCTAGTGTCTGGTGTCTGGTATCTGGTGTCTGGTATCAGGTATCAGGTATCTGGTATCTGGTACTTGGTATTTGGTATCTGATATCTGGTGTCTGGTATCCGGTGTCTGGTTTCTGGTATCTGGTATCTGGTATCTGGTGTCTGGTATCTGGTGTCTGGTTTCTGGTATCTGGTATCTGGTGTCTGGTATCTGGTATCTCGTATGTGGTGTCTGGTATCTGGTGTCTGGTATCTGGTATTTGGTATCTATTATCTCTTTATCTGGTATCTGGTATCTCGTTTCTGGTATCTGCTATCTGGTGTCTGGTATCTGGTGTCTGGTATCTGGTATCTGGTGCCTAGTGTCTGGTGTCTGGTATCTGGTGTCTGGTATCTAGTATCTGGTATCTGGTGTCTGGTATCTGGTATGTGGATCTGGTATCTGGTATCTGGTATCTGGTGTCTAGTATCTGGTATCTGGTATCTGATATCTGGTGTCTGGTATCTGGTATCTGGTATCTGGTGTCTGGTATCTGGTATCTGGTGTCTGGTATCTGGTATCTGGTATCTCGTATGTGGTGTCTGGTATCTGGTGTCTGGTGTGTGGTATCTGGTATCTAGTATTTGGTATTTGGTATCTGTTATCTTTTTATCTGGTATCTGGTGTCTGGTATCTGGTATCTCGTTTCTGGTATTTGCTATCTGGTATCTGGTATTTGGTGTCTGGTATCTAGTATCTGGTATCTGGTATCTGGTATCTGGTATCTGGTATGTGGATCTGGTATCTGGTTTCTGGTATCTGGTATCCGGTGTCTAATATCTGGTATCTAGTATCTGGTATGTGGATCTGCTATCTGGTATCTGGTATCTGGTGTCTGGTATCTGGTATCCGGTGTCTGATGTCTGGTATCTGGTGTCTGGTATCTGGTATCTGGTTTCTGGTATCTGGTATCTGGGATCTGGTACCTGTCATCTTTTATGAGTTTTCATTTTTCGTTTTCCGTTGTCCGTTTTTCGTTTTTCGTTTTTGGTTTTTCGTTTTTCATTTTTCATTTTTCGTTTTTCATTTTTCATTCTTCATATTTCATTTTTCATATTTCATTTTTCATTTTGCATTTTTCATTATTCATTCATTTTTCATTTTTCAATGTCGCATGTGTCACCATTAATAGCACACAATGGCATTATAAAATCTTCGATATAGCATTAATGCCCTCTACTTATAAAATTGTATGACAAACTTAGATTTATGTGAGGAGCCGGCAACGTCGCATGTGTCACCATAAATAACACACAAAGGCATTATAAAATCTTCGATATAGCATTAATGCCCTCTATAAAATTTTATGACAAACTCAGATTTATGTGAGGAGCCGGCAACGTCGCATGTGTCACCATCAATAGCACACAATGGCCTTATAAAATCTTCGATATAGCATTAATGCCCTCTATAAAATTGTATGACAAACTCAGATTTATGTGAGGAGCCGGCAACGTCGCATGTGTCACCATAAATAACACACAATGGCATTATAAAATCTTCGATATAGCATTAATGCCCTCTATAAAATTGTATGACAAACTCCGATTTATGTGAGGATCCGGCAACGTCGCATGTCTAGCTACCGCACTTACAAAAAATGGCGCTTGACACTTGACATATGTGAACCGTGTTCGCCTAAGGATAGCACGCTCTTTCTTCAGTGTAAATGTTTTATGATTTGACAGGAATGAAAATTATTTTACCTTATTTAAATCTGCTGACCATTAATAAGGGTACCTCTCAAACTTCTTCAAGGATGCAATACATTATCACGATAGATATACACTGAGGCACTTCGTCTGAACCTGTAAACACTCGGCACCGGGTATCACTAGACTGTTGTTATTTGTTATTATATTATGCTATAAGCACAAAGTCTTGCTATGTTGTGGATTTCTGATCTCTTCAGGAATTGATCTTTGGCACTAATTAGGTCTTACAATCATATTTGTCGTATTTAAGCTGACGATGACTTCTACAAATTGCTAACCGTCACACCCGATTCCACTACATAGTTGGGGGTAAAAGACAGGAATGAAAATTGTTTACCTCATTTAAATTTGCTGACGATTAATAAGGCTACCTTTTAAACCGCTCTCAAACGTCTTGAAAGATGAACTAAATTATCTATAGATACACTGCGGTACGTCGTCTGAACCGAAAAACACTCTGCACCACTAGACACTTGCAAGACACACTGCTATAAGCACAAAGTTTTGCTATATTGTGGACTTGTTGCCTTTTTAGGATGGATCCATATAAACGTTCATCTAAAATTATGCCACTCATTAGGGTTTACAATCATATTTATCGTATTGAAAGTGATGATGACTTTTGTAAACAAATCGCTAAACGTCAAAGCCTAAATGCTTAGCTGCCGGTAAAATTACATCGTTGCCAAGGCATACTTGATTATCATTATAATAATGGCTATAGTCCGGTCCGTTTAGACTATGAAATATAGAAATTTTGAATCTTTTCGAAAATGTTGATTTTCACGCGTAAAAAAGGACAATTCTATTTGGCGTGATCCAATATTCGATGAAGCGACCAACATAAAGCCGAAAATGGCACGTTTCGGACGTTCCGCTCGCACTCGCTCGCTTTCGTAATACGATTATACCTACATTACCCCGCCTAACAGGAATCTGGGGATCTGGAGGGGAAATTCAAAATTGAAACTTCAAACTAAAAATATCTGCATATCTTTGAATTTTCTAATCTGCCGAGTTTAAAAAATGCGATCGGGTAACGTGTCATATGTCGGTTTAATCAGGAGACTTTGGTCTTTCGTTTTGCGAAAAAAAATCGTAGCTACGTCGCTCCGTAACGCAGGTCCGTATCGACGAAGACAAAGTACGCCGAAAAACGGCTGTCATCGGTACTTTTGAGGCGCTCAAAGTTTACTTTTTCGAAATTTGACGGTAATTCTAACGGTCAGAATCGTTTCCTCAGCTCATTATCGTTATATTTCGATAGCTGTATAATTTTTACTCGCCCACGTACGGTAGTAATAGGCGAGGACAGAGCCGGATGACAAAGTGACTTTTTCGCGCGTCGAAAAGTAGCGTGTTGTCGGGCAATTTTTAAAAAATCGAAACTTTCGACCGACAAGGGATAAAGGAAAAAAAAAGACGCTATCTTTGAGTCCGATGTCCGGGCTTTCTCACGCAAAAATCGTCAGGTTCGTAGCTCCTTTATCTTCGGAGGAGATAGAAAAAGCGCGTCGAACGGCACGAAAATCTACCGATTTTTCAACTTTACCGGCCATTTTTGATCGCGTTCGTTCCTCCTACCGCGACAACTCTCGCTCCACCGTAAAGCGCCGAGTTTCTAGTTTCCGAAACGGTATCGTTTTCCTTCCGAACGTTCCGCGAACCCGGAAAAAAACCGGAAAAATCGGAAAGTAGCGCGTAGTCGAGGAAATCAAAAAAATCGAAATTTTCGAACGAAACGGCATAAAGAAAAAAAAAGAAAGCCGCTATCTTTGAGCCCGAAGCCGGGGCTTTCTCGCGCAAAAATCGCCAGGTTCTCAGCTCCTTTATCTTCGGCGGAAACCTATGTTGAACGTCGGACAGAACGAAAATCTACCGGTTTTTTCGACTTTACCGGCCGTTTTCGATCCGATCCGTTCCTCTCACCGCGACGGCTCCCGCTTCCCGGTAAAGCGCCGAGTTTCTACTTTCCGAAACGGTACCTCTTTCCCTCCGAACGTTTCGCGAACCGGGAAAAAAAACGGAAAAACCGCGTCGACGTCATACGACAATTTCCGAACCACTACCAATTATACCTATTACTACCAAATCGAACAAAAGATCACCGCTTAATATTATCGATTGCCTCGACTACTCTGAAACCGTTTGAAGTATAAAGCTTATTTTTTTGTTGTGGCTTGTTATACAACTTCTCTATGTTCATTATGAACAATATCCGAAAAATTGTTTTTCTCCGATAAGAAAAAATATTTTTGCGAAAGAAAAAAAACGTAATCTTTCAAATGAACCATATGCGACCTTCCTTTATCCATTTGTAATGCAGTCACGAAATCTCATGTTTGTGCGACTATTTGTTCTGAAGCTATCGCGGCAGAAAAATTGACAAAAAGGTTTATATTTTTACAAAAAAACAAGAGATTATCACAAATCAGTCATTTTTACACACACCATAAAATAATTAGACAATATGAATTAATATTGCTGCCCCAATCGCACAGTTGAAAAAAAGGGACGAGCGACCTTAAAAAACGATTATGCACTCAGCCCTCATTATCGTTTATAAGCGGTGTTGTCTTGCAGGCAATTATAACACTCATTACTCGAACACGCCTTATCACCGATTTGTCGTCGAGGTGTAACATCACCGGACAATTACAAACACCTTACAACATGTGAAGACGCTGTTCGGTCGCAATTAATTTGCAAACGTGGCCGATTTAAGATTTGAGCGTATCAAGATGAACGTGAAAAGTTGCCCGGGAATTGCGAGCAACGCGAAACGGAAAGTGATAAGCCGTCAAGGTTCGCGCCTGTTGTGCACCAGTGTCAGTGTAAAATCGCAGATTGCATCTAATGTGAGACAGTTTTATGCTTTTTGCTACTTGCGCGTCTTAATTGTGCATGGTTTATAAAGGACATCGCTTAGGCTGTTAAAACGTGTGTAAGTGACTTTAGTGCCGTGGATTTTTATTGTATAGCTAAACAGCTATTGAAGCTTTATTACACAAAAGTTGCAAAAAACTTTATGGAAAATCTAAACATTAAAAAAAAATGTAGATTTCCATTTGAAAGTCTAAAATGTAACGCAAAATCTTATGGATCACCCTGTATTGCACGGTTATGGATGGAAAGACGTCTCCCTAGAAATCAAAATTGACATGTCCAAGCATTGTTCCCATTCAATTTAAAACAAAGACGCTAGACACTTAAGTACTTGCCATCAAATTGTTTGGAGAATTTTAGTGGAGTTTTTGTTATATCTCCGCAATTTGAATCAGTGATTCTGTTCACGGACGAAGCTACTTTTTCTCGAAATGCCATTCATAATTTCCACAATATTCATTTGTGGGCAGAAGAAAATCCCTATGCCGTAACCGAAACCCATTTCCTACACCAATTTTCGGTTAACGTATGGGCAGGAATTATTGGCAACCACTTTATTGGCCCATTCTTCTTGCCGGGATGACTTGACCTCAATTTTCTTCAACAACAGTT